CCACTCCATTCCATAGCACAGACCAGATACTCCATGCCTATGGAAGTCCCAGCCAATCTGGGGATGACCACCCCTTCTCCCTACTTTCCAGGAAGCTAACTCACAGGCTTGGGCAGAGCCTGGGTCACAGAGGATGGCCTGGAGGAACCTTCACCTTTACTTTTATCACAAGGCATGAAATGGCCTGAGAGCTGCCATATTGCTTTCTGGCAGGGATTTGGAATTCTGCTTTTGTTTGATAAATGGAAATAAGGCATTTCCCAGACAGAAGCTGCTGGGCTGGCACTTTCAGTGTGCTTGTGGTGGGGTTAGGGGGCCGGGGAAGTGGAAATGCCTGTTGTGTTCTTGGAGGGTATCTTTCAGATGGCTCCAGCATATCTTATGCTGCACACTATCTGAATGATTAAAAATTAATATCTTAATTGATATCTTAATCTTGAGCCAAAGAAGCTTCGATTCCTTTAAGAAGAATGATCAGCAAAATGATGATACTAGCTTAATAGAAGGAATGAATCAGCTACTATTCCATCAGAGGGCTTCCCTCACCTCTCAAGCAGCCTGATTCTACAGCTTAATCATGACAGATAAACTTCCACATGCTCCAAAGCTATTTCTGGTACTCCTTAGGAAAGGAGGGAATAAAGAAACCATTAGCATCCAATCAATGCATCAGCCTGCACGCCAGCCAGCCCGCTCAGCACACAGCCCCCAGGAACAGTGTGGAATGTCCACACCGTGTTAAAAAAAAAAAAAAAAAAAAAAAAAAAGGCTACAGGGATAGGAAAGAGATCCCACCTCAGCTGAGCCAAACTCACCCTCTGGGCCCTGCCTTGTAGAGTCAGTGTGGGCTAGGACCTGTCGTTCTGGACAGCAATGGACAACAGAGGCCAAGTACTAGACAGTGGGAAAGAGAGTGTGACCCTGGGCAACCTCCTTCACCTCTGTGCGTCTTGTGTCACATTTGGAAAAGGAGGTGGTGGACACCTGGGGAGAGGGTGGACACAGGGCTGCAGGACTCCTGAGCTCTGAACCATTGCTGATGTACAGACCCCACTGACTCAGGGCTAGCCTGGAAGCCAGTCTTCCTTGGTCTGCCCCGATTCATTTGGGAAACTTAGAGTTTTATATGTCTGATGAATCAGGTAGTAAAAGGTTGCAAATCCTAGGTCCTTCTTTAGCCAAAAATCCAGGGATATCTCAGAATAAGTGGTTGAGGAATCCTGCGCCGACAACTCAGTGGGCAAAGGACATGAACAGACACTTCTCAAAAGAAAACGTTTATTCAGCCAACAAACATTTTTTTTTTTAAAGCTCAACATCACTGCTCCTTAGAGAAATGCAAATCAAAACCACAATGAGATACCATCTCACGCCAGTCAGAATGGTGATTATTAAAAAGTCAAGAAACAGCAGATGCTGGTGAGGCTGTGGGGAAATAGGAACGCTTTTACAGTGTCGGTGGGAATGGAAATAAGTTCAACCATTGTGGAAGACAGTGTGGTGATTCCTCGAAGTCCTAGAACCAGAAACATCATTTGACCCAGCAATCCCATTACTGGGTATTTACCCAAAGGAATATAAACCATTCTATGATAAAAATACATGCACACATGAGTTCACTGCAGCACTATTCACAATAGCAAAGACATGGAGCCAAACCAAATGCCCATCAATTATAGACTGGATAACGAAAATGTGGTGCATATACACCATGGAATACGGCGCAGCCATAAAAAGGAACAAGATCGTGTCCTTTGCCAAACCCTGGCTACCTGTGCAGACATGCACCAGCAGAGACACAGCAGACCCTGGCTGAACCCTTCCCAGGCATCAGCCTCCAGGAGCCAACACTGCCCGCTGCCACTGCAGCCTCCACCCTGGGTCTGCACAGAGTGGCAGGCTGGCTATTTCAATCAACTGGTGTTTTGAAAACCTTGCAATTTTAAACCTTTTAAACATGAATAGGTGAGACTGTGAGAGCACCAGTGACTAGTTGGGAGTACTTACAGGCAATTTCCAATGTCTCCTGAAATCTCCAAGCCAACAGTCCCACGGGGCACCAGGTAAGGTTTACTTTGCCAGACTCACCTTCCAGTTGGCCATTTCTCCTGCTGCTGCATAGGCTGAGGCAGCTGGCGTTCCATGCCCAGGTGCATCCACCTTTAATCACCTCACGCGAATTGTTTCTGGCTCACCTGCACCTGCCTTCAAGTCAGACTTTGCAGAAGCATAAAGATCAGAGCTAGGGGCCGGGCCCGGTGGCTCACACCTGTAATCCCAGCGCTTTGGGAGGTCTAGGTGGGCAGATCACTTGAGGTCAGGAGTTTAAGACCAGCGTGGACAACATGGTGAAATCCTGTCTCTACTAAAAATACAGAAATTAGCTGGGGGTGATGGCAGGCACCTGTAGTCCTATCTACTCAGGAGGCTGAGGCAGAAGAATCACTTCAACGAGGGATGGGGAGGTTGCAGTGAGCCAAGATCACACCACTGCACTTCAGCCTGGGTGACAGAGTGAGACTCTGTCTCAAAAAATAAAAATAAAAATAAAAATAATCCTAAAAGGCTGGATGTGGTGGCTCACGCCTGTAATCCCAGCACTTTGGGAGGCTGAGGCAGATGGACCACCTGATGTCAGGAGTTCAAGACCAGCCTGGCCAACATGGTAAAACCCTGTCTCTACTAAAAATACAAAAAAATAGCCAGACATGGTGGCAGATGCCTAGGTAATCCCAGCTACTCTGGAGGCTGAGGTTGCAGTGAGCTGAGATTGCACCATTGCCCTCCAGCCTGGACAACAAGAGCAAAACTCCATCTCAAAAAAATAAATAAATAAAACAATCAGAGCCAGGAGATCTGTGAGGCCCAGGGGCCCAATCTGGCTGTGAGCAAAGTACCCAGGAGGCAGCGCCTTGCTCTTCTGGCTGGATCCCCAGTTTTCACACACCTGAACCTTGGTGAATTCTACCCAGGTACCTGGGCAACCATCAATTCATCCATCACTGCATCCAACCCTCATCCTTCCCAGTGATCCATGACACAGATGAGCAAGGAACGAGAGCAAGTTGGAGTGTTTGCAGTGACCACCGCTGGACGATTCTTCCCACTGAAGGGGCCCAGAGGCAGAGCACCAGCCTGAGCTGTGCTGCAGGAGGGCCAGGAGGGATGACTGCCCAAAGCAGGAAGATTCAGAGAGGAAACGTCTGCACACCTGGAGTTGTGGTGTCCTAAGGCTTCTCAGCCGGGCAGAGAACTGTGTGCAGAAGCAATGGTCTGTGGACAATTCACCTGCCCCCCGGACAGCACCACCCATTTTGCATTCAGATGTTTGAACACAGCCTGTGTTTCCCACAGCGGTCAGATGGAATCCCAGAGTTTCAGACCAGATGATTTGTGCAACCTCCTCCTTCTGCAAAAAGAGGATGATGGGGGCCAGGACATGAACTCCACGACAGAGACAGCTATGGCCAGAGCAGGGAGGATTAGGGATCGGGGAATGCCTTGGATAGAAAGGACTAAGGGTGCCCCCACCTGGAGAGAGGAGAGCTGTGCATTCAGACCCAGCCTTGTCAGGAAAGCCTCAAGTCTCTGTTTATTAAGGCTGGAGGGAACCAGCCTGTCTTGGCTGCAGTGGCAGAGTGAAAGCAGCCTTCTGCACTGCTGAAAATTGACAAAGGCGGGGTTTCCCACACCCCTCCTCAAAGGCATGGGGCTGCAGCCCAGCTAATGGGGTCAAGAGACGTGAGGAGAAAGGCTTCCGGATGGTGCAGATGAGCAGGACTGGGCTGGAAACTGCCACCACTCAAGCTGATGACTCTAAGCAAGTAGCAGTAACGTCCCCCGGGTGGTTGGCAGCACCAACGAGCATGCAGGGCACTTCCACACTTGCTTCTCTCATAACCCTGGAGGGAGCATCCCACTTTCCGGGTGAGAAGCCCAGGGTTCACGAGTGGGCCTTCCCCAGTTGCACAGGAGGCCTTACAACAGATGAAGAACCTAAGGACCGACGGGGAGCCAGGCGGGCGGCCCAGGTGAAAGCAGGGTGAGGCACAGGGGTTACGGCCGCCACGGCAGGTCAGAGGCTAGGTTAAGATCACATTGGAGAGACAGATGGGAGTGACCCAGACGGCACTGGGGTCATTCCTCAAAGATCCCAGCCCACTCACCTCCACCAACGTGTAATTTCTCAGCTCCGTACTGTAGCCCAAAGGGTGCACAGACAAGGTTGCTGTGGAAAAAAGACTCACCCAGCAGCATCAGGATGCCAGAGACGAGGCGCATGGCAGTGCAAATCTGTGCAGCTTAGGTGGGGATGTGGAGAGGATGTGGGGATGCCCGAGGAACGGACTTGTGTGCAATCGTGTAGCCTTCATGGAGGAGGAGGGCAAGCAGGGCCAGAAATGATGAGGACATTTTGCAGCATGGTATCTGGGGAGAAGGAAGCATATTGTCTTTTATTTTTTCTTTTTTTGAGACAGAGTCTGTCTCCCAGGCTAGAGTGCAGTGACACAATCATAGCTCTCTGCAGCCTCCAACTCTTGGGCTCAAGCAATCCCCAGCTAATTTTTTATTTTTTCTTGTGATGGGGTCTCACTGTGCTGCCCAGACTGGTCTCGAGCTCCTGGACTCGAGTGATCCTCCAGCCTCAGCCTCCCAAAGTGTAAGGTGGCTTACAGGCGTAAGCCACCCTGCCCAGCCCATATCATCTTTCTATTAAAATAAGGTAATAGCTTGGACATTAGAGCTGTCACACCCCACTTCAGGCCAGGCGCTTGTGTCTGATCCCACTAGGATCTTAAAGCGTGTGGTCTGTAAATTACAAACCACAGCAACAAAATGTTTTGTCATTGACCAAGGCAGCCACCAGGCACCAGCCTCCAGCTGGGTGCTGAGCACGAGCAGCCCCAGCCTGGGGAAGCCTCACTGTCCCCGGTCTGCTGTGAGTTGCTTGGTTCCTGTGACTTAGGCGTTAACCTTGCCTGTTTTCTCATCCCCTGCAGGCACTGGCCGTAGCTACACCACAGACCCGCTCTTGTCCCTGCTTCTGTTAGCTCTGCATAAGTTCCTGCGCCTGCTGGAGGGACACTGACAGACATGGCCAACCTGAGCATCTCAGAGGCCACACACGACCTGCCAGGGGGCCCTCGGTGAGGACCCAGTCGCTGAATGGACACAGAGAGACTGAGAGACGCATGAAAATGTCCACATGGAAAATAAATAAATCATATTTTTGGGGAAGTTACACAAATGTAGAACACCTAAAATAATGCATCTAGTTTCCAAATAATTTGGAGTTTGGACCATGCTTCATGGGAATCAATGATTTATCTACTTCAATGTAGTTTTCTTTTCTACGCCTTTCCTCCAAGTCTTCATTTTGCACGAACTGTTGAGCAGTTATCTTTAGGATAATATGTACAAATGTTGGGGTCAAAGCCTTTCTGACAAAGCGAGATATTTTTAGTAGATTATTGTGTTTAGGATTTTTTTTAATTTACTTTTTTTCTTTGGGGGCTTTTCTTTTTTATTAAATTATTTCTTTTGAGGCATTTTGATTAAAAAAAGACACATCTTATCATAATTAAAATTCACTGTCAATAATATTTATTTTTAAATAAAGATTGGAAACAAGTTCAGACACTTGTTTATAAACTGTATTGTATATTGCTGAAGAACAGTTGAATAAAAAACAACTTTGAAATAACCTTTCTACAGCCATGTATGAATGTCAAGGCTTGGTGCCCACTGCAGCCTGGCTGCTGTCCCCTCCTGTGTTCTGATGCCAGCTGCACTTTTGGCAGGGTGTCACCCAGCATGGAGGACAGCCCGGGGCACCTGGCTGAGACCACACTGAGCAGATGGGAGCACCTGCCCAGCCTCCCCTAGGGACAGGGCACCACATAAAGGCTATAATGAGGCGAGCCCCCAGCCTGGGTCCTGCAGGAAAGGAAGAGGCGTGAAGTAAGTCAAGAACCATTCCTCGCCCATTTGGTTTCAATCAATCATGCATGCATTCGCCCACTTGGAGATTGTATGTCAAGGTGCATTTACTGTGGTTGACTTCGCTGCTCGTTTGAAGAGGGAATTTGGGGAGGAGGTAGGGATTGCCACACTCCCTCCCATGCATCTGAAGATTGCTTTGAGCCTCTGAAACTCATGGGTTTGGGGCAGGTTACACATGTCCTAAGGAAACTGGCAGGCCCCAGGTGAGAGCTCATGTATACTTCATTCTATGACAGCATCTCATTAAATAGCTGGAGCCCATAGATTTGTTCAAAATCCAGCCAGATTTCAACACCTGCAGTTTAAATAAGTGCGGTTGTCATTGATGTTGTTCACCAAATACCTCCGTTCTCTGCTGGCCAGGCATGCAGCAGGATGGCACTTCCTGGCCTCCTGTGGTGGGTGGGGCCGCAGCTCTGGTGAATGAGCTGGGAACAGAAGGGACTCGCACTGCTTCCAGTCCAAGGCACAGGACTGCTGCTTCAAGGCCCTCCAAAGCACTCGTCTTCTAAAGGGACGACTTGCAGCGTTCACATCAGCAAGTGTTCTGCCAGCCTAGGTCCCTGAGTGGCTGCAACGAACACAGCCTTCCCTGCAGCCAGGGCTGGGACTTGCAGCCCCATGAGGAGTCCGCCATTGCTGCTTCACCCACTAATCTTCGGGCGTTATCTCAGTATAACCCATCCTGTCCTGATTGGCTCAGTGCGTAGTTAACCGACTGTATTTAGTTTGGGGGAGGAGACATTGTGCATTGGGACAGTCCCACGTGTACGGAGGGCCCCAGGGAGGAGCTGATGTCCAGGGAGTCCAGTGTGGACAGAACCTGGGGAAGGCTGTTTCTGATGGGCACATTAAGTTGTTTCACATTTCCTTTATATTGATCAGCACCAATCGAGCTGTAAATTTAATCACTCTGTCTGGTGGATAGTGATTCTGTCCAGAAGGATCATCTCCTTTTATAGTTAACTCAATACTGCAGCAGCTAATGTCATGTTAAATACCAGCCCGGTGTGCTAGAAAGCAAACCATACTTCCCAGATACCAGTGGAACAGGTACAATGTGTCAGTAAGGCTGACATTGTGCCAGATTGTTCCAGGGAATGAAGGGCTGGGGAGCCACTCCCCATTACCAAAATCAGATGCCCCTGTACAAACACAAGTGGTCAGGTCCCAACCTGGAAGTTCCCACCATTTAGCATGATATGTACAGTGGAGGGGTAGCTGTGATGTGTATAGGAGAAATCAATAAAAAAGCACAAACAGGCCAGGTGCAGTGGCTCATACAAGCGAGGCAGGCAGATTACCTGAGGCCAGGAGTTCGAGACCAGCCTGGCCAACATGGTGAAACCCCATCTCTACTAAAAATATAAAATTAGCCAGGTGTGCTGGCCCCATGCCTACAATCCCAGCTACTCAGGAGGCTGAGGCAGGAGAAACACTTGGACCCCAGAGATAAGGTTGCAGTGAGCCAAGATCGTGTCACTGCACTCCAACCTGGGCAACAAAGCAAGACTACATCTCAAAACGAGAAAAGAAATGCAATGGGAAGATGAACAAAGGACATGAACAGCATATCATGGAACAGAAAATAGACCAGAAAAAATATAAAAGGCTTTCAGCCTCAGTAGTTATAAGAGAAATGCAAATCAAGGCTACAGTGATTATGCCCACTTAACTACCAAAAATTTAAGTCTGACAAAGGCCGGGTGCACTGGTTCATGCCTGTAATCTCGACACTGTAGGAGATCAAGGCTGGAGGATCACTTGAGGACAGGCGTTCCAGACCCCATCTGGGCCTAATAGCAAGACCCCATCTGTGTTAGTCTGTTGTTAATTGCATTGCTGTAAAGAAATACCTGAGACTGCGTAATTCATCAAGCAAAAATGAATAAATGGCCATGTGCAGTGGTGACAATTGGTGGGTGCCAAGTAACAGCTGCCCCATGATACCCCAGGAGGTCTTTTCCCTGGCTCTACCCTGGCTTCACCCTCTACAGCCCTGCCAGCTGTGGTCACTGTACTGGCCTCACAGGGTCAGAGAACATTGTAGCCATTCAGAATATTTCTCAAAGAGAACTGAAGCAAAAGTAGTTTTAGGGTTAACCAGAATCCCATTCCTGAAGCAGGTAATTGATGTTTTCCAATAACATGTATCCAGTTTTCAATTTAAGAACACAGCAAAGAAGTTAAATTAGATTGCAGATAACCTGCATTTTCTTTTCTGTGCAAGATTTTTCTGCGCTTTTTTTATTTTGGTAAATTATAGTATACAAAATGTTCTGGTTTTGCTTTGGAACAAGGTCTGCGGTGTGTCTAAAACACAATCTACTAACATGCGCTTATCTGCATAACCGATTAATTCCCTGTTTTCAACCAGACATCTTCCTGCTCTCTAAATACCAAAAGACGTAGCCATTATTGTTTAAGCCTCCTTCACAGACTCATTTCTACGCCCTTTGAAAGCAAAATTTTCCTCCCTCCACCTCCACCTGCCATGGTTTCTCCAAACTGTGCCCTAATGAATTGGTGCTTTTAACTAAGACAGACCATGGTCACCATTCAAAACGTTAATTCCCATAAAATGCGATGTCAGTTTTACAAGGAAGGCTCTCCTTTATCAGCAAAAAACTGATTCCATTTGACTGATTAATTGCCCTTAGAACTGTCAAAGGCTTCCAGACAAGGAATGACAACTCGGGAGAAGGCAGCCATGCAGCCTTGCGGTGTGGGGCACTCCTGGGCTGGGGAAACCAGGAGATTACAAATGCACAAATAATTAATTCAAATCAATACAGTGAGGGGTTCAGGCTGAGAGACATTCAATTATGTTGCTCAAAGAGAAGATGCTGATCTTCAGCTAGTCCGCTCCATGCTGCAAATAATAGAGCATTTTTAATTTGTGCAGCAGGGATGTTAATCTTTGGCTGTGTAATCCAGTCCTTGGGGAATGCCATAAATATGTGACGATGTGCATGTGAGTTTCCCCGAGGAGGACCCTCAATCAACCCAGCTCTGGCTTTCCTGCCTGTCTGTATGTCAATCTCTCAACACTCAATTAGGAAATATATGATGGGCTAATAGATGATAGATAGATGGATGGATGGATGGATGGATGGATGGATGGACGAATGGATGGATGGATAGAAGGCCACAGAGGCAGACAAATGTTCAAAGGTTATCAGACATCCCTTACCCGCCAACCATAAACAGTTTATGACTTCTGGGTTTTGCCTGAGCCAACACCACAAATAAATCCCCAAAGAATTATTCACATTTCAAAAACAATTCACTTCAGAATGGCTTTAAATAGCAAGCTCCTGTAGCATGTTTAAAGTACGATCTGAATCTCAACTTTATTATACAGAGAAAAAGAAGCACACATACACACATGAATAAAGATTTAGAAGGTTAGACACTAAGGTGTTAGAAGTTTGTTTCCATATAAGTGGGATCCTACGTACTTTAATGCCTGCCTGAGGCCTGGCTTCTCTGTAACGAACATTTATCACTTCTGTAATAAGATAAAAGCAGTAAAATATGTTTAATTTAGCAAAAGACAATTTCACTCCCCAAAAATATAGGATTCAATTTATGAAGATGTAACTGTCCATGTGTTTTTGGAAGAACATTTGCTCTGTAAAAAGAGGCTCTGGCGGGGTGAGGTGGCTCACACCTGTAATCCCAGCACTTCGGGAGGCCAAGGCAGGTGGATCATGAGGTCAAGAGATCAAGACCATCCTGGCCAACATGGTGAAACCCCATCTCTACTAATAATACAAAAAAAATTAGCTGGGCGTGGTGGCATGAGCCTGTAGTCCCAGCTACCCAGGAGGCTGAGGCAGGAGAATTGCTTGAACCCGGGAGGCGGAGGTTGCAGGGAGCCGAGATCACACTACTGCACTCCAGCCTGGCACCTGGCAACAGAGCAAGACTCTGTCTCAAAAAGAAGCAAACGAAAAAAAAGAGGTTCTGCAGGAATGTGCTATTTAGTCCTCGTTCTTTGGTAGCTGAGGCTACCAGAGAAGGAAGCTCTGAGCACAGCCCTTGGGTAGAGAGCTTGAGGCATCTCTGGGCAGGTGATCTCCTACCACACTCACCACCCCAAAAGATGGCCCCCTAAGAGTTCTCCTCATGGCAACCAGGACTCAGGGGAAAGAGAGGCTGGGAATGTGGAGCACCCCAGGGACCATGGCCCCACAAAGCTCTGCAGTGGCTGGACATTAACTATGTGTATCCACTCAATAAACCCACATTGATCACTACTCCCTAAACAGCCCTGTACAGAAGAAAGAGATGACTACGGAAGGATCACCCCCATCCCCCGGTAGGGGAGCTGGTGGTCTGGTAAGAGGAATCAATACCTCCACAGCTAAGTGGAGTTCAAGCTGGACTGTAAGACCCACAGTAGGGCGTTTAGAAAGGGACTCAGGAAGAGAAACAATTCATCGTGATGGGTGGGGGTGGGGAGACAGCAGGGACCTTATCAAATGTTTGTGGATATGAGCTCAAGTGCCATTTGAGCTGTGTCTTAAGAGGCCTCCTTGTCGCTTCCTGATGCTCGAAGAGTCTTGTTAGACACAGACAGCTGGATCTCCCCTACAAACAGAGCCACTGTCGTTTGGGTAAAAGTCAATCCTTTCTCACCAGTGGCTGTCACCAGAAGTGGCAGCCTCATTGCATCCCTCTCTGGCACATGTTGAG